GCAGCGGCAGAAGCGGAGCACGCCCGGCCCCAGCCCGCTCCACTCCACCAGCTCCCAGCCGCGGCCCTCCGCTTCCGCCGCCGGTGAGTGCAGGGGAGGGGGGATCCTTCCCCAGCCCCAAGCAACATGGCTGGGGCCCGGGCAAGGGAAGCGGAACTGGCTGGGGCCGCGTCACTCCGCTTCCCACCGCCAGTGGGTGCAGGGGGGCGTCTTTTCCCCAACCTCCCTGCTCACCGCACTCACCGGCGGCGGGAAGCGGAGCGCCGCAGCTGGGAGCTGGCAGAGTGGAGCGGGCTGGGACCACATTGCTCCACTTCCCGCCGCTGCCGGTGAGTGCCCTGGCCCTGGCCCCGGCCCCAGACCCAGCCGCCTTCCTGCTTCACCCCCTTCCCGGCCACCGCGCTCGTGATCCTGCCCCTGTCCTGCTCCGGCCTTGCACTGAACCTTGTCCCACTCTCGCCGCCGGCCACTAGGATTTAAAATCCAAGCTGCCCGCCGCTAGGCACCATGAGAACGCCCCCTCTCGTCCGGTTTAAAGGGACAGGCGCGCCCGCTGTGCCGCGAGCTGACAGCGTGAGTGTAAAAATTAAAAAGGCGCCACTTTTGGGGAATGTGCTGAGTGGGGGAGCGGCTGCTCCCCCTGCTCCCCCTCAGCTACGCTAGCGCTGCACACCCCAAAACCTGTTCCCATGAGCCTCAGGTGCCCATTCAGACTTGAGCAGTGGAGCCTGGTTGAACGGTTCCTAGTCCCCAGTATCGGCTCCGCCCATCTGGCTGGGCGCCCCTATGGCTCTGGGACCGAGCAAGGGGGTGAGACGCGGAGCCGGCCTGTGGGGTCAGCCTGGTTCGATCGCAGGCCTTCTCAAAGGCAGTGAGGTAGGACACGATATCCCTCCTCCAACTGGGCAACAATTTGGGATCTAGGCTCCCCTAGAACCGGCATCCTGGGGCCTTTCCCCATTGTACCCTCGGTGGGTCCTCTCGCCCTCGGCTTCTCCGGCCCCCGTTCACACTTTCGCTGCCTCTCCTGCTTCTTCCTCGTGTTTTCGCTGCATCTCATGGGCTGCCAGCCTCTGTTCCTCCAGCCAAAGCTCCTTCACTCAGCTCCAGCTCCAGCTCCAGCTCCCACCAACTCCATCAATGGGGAACCAGGTCGTGAGGACGTCCTGCTGCTGCCTCCATTACTGTGGGACTTTTCTGGAACCCCACTTGGGCCTGGAACCTGCTTCTTGGACCGACTGTCCTTCTCCAGCCGTGCAACCAGAGGCAGCTTGTCGAGTTTCCCAATGTTTAGCCCTCTCTCGCTGCACAGGTTTGCGACGTCCCTCTTATGGAGGTGGTTATACCCCATTTTTTTGCATTTCCTTTAAACTAGCCTTGTTTTACTGTTGCAAATCACTTATTGCAAAATGCTACTCGTGCATCCGGGATCCCACCGCTACCACCACCTGTCATGGCTCCACAGGATCAGTGCTATGGCCTCAGCTTGGGAACAGTTTCTGGAAGGACCCTTCAGTGGGCCAGACCCCCTGGGGGGGGCTCATTCGTCCTTCAGTGTAGGCCACATGGCCACACCGCCTCCTTAGACAGAACTTCTGGGGCTCCAAACCTCCTGCTTCACCCCTTGAGCTCTGTTCAGCGACTGTAACTGAGCCAGACCCTGGGGGAGACGTGTCCTCTCCTCAGGGATCAGTGCCCCTCGCCCAGCGTCTGCGGGGACACTCACCCAGCGCTGTGAAACCAGGTGGGTGGCCCAGAGAACAGACGGTTACAGCCCAGCCCAGCTGCAGTGACCCCCGTGGTTCAAGCTCCGTCTGACTCTCTGTAATGTTGCACTCTATATGATTTTATAAATATATGCTAATGAGTGAATATAATGTAACTGGGATATGCTTCATGCAGAAGGTCTCTTGTAAGGTATCATTACAAAGCTCATAATCTACTGAGTGTGATCATTCTATTTGTATAAATGTAACACTCTTGTATCTGGGACTAGAAATATGAAATATAACTCTGAGGCCTATTGTAATTATGCAAAGTGTGGGTCATTAATGGTGGCTGGGAATCTTGATGGCTCCCATCAACCAGGACAATTGACTATGGATGGCTCTGTTTGCAGGGAGTCCTTCCCGTGAGTCAGGCTGGGAGGAATGAAGGCTTGGGGGGGTCTCACAGTGACATGTGATCATGTCACCTGAACTGGAATCCATCTTTAACCTGGTGTCTTTCCGTTGAAAAGGAGGGTGTGGGGACCCAGAACGGGACAAAGGGTTCCCGCCTTATGCAAAAGATATATAAAGGGGTGGAACAGAACAAAGTGGAGAGAGGAGCCGTCATGAAGAATCCCCTAGCTATCACCTGAGCTGCAACAAGAGCTGTACCAGGGGAAAGAATTGTGCCCAGGCCTGGAAGGTGTCCAGTCTGAGAAAAAGCTTACTGAACCATCTCTGGGGGTGAGATTATCTGTATTCAGTTTTATTAGACATAGATTTGTGTGTTTTAGTTTATTTTGCTTGGTGACTTACTTTGTTCTCTCTGTTACTACTTGAAACCACTTGAATCCTACTTTCTGTATTTAATAAAATCACTTTTTACTTATTAATTAACCCAGAGTATGTATTAATAGCTGGGGGAGCAAACAGCTGTGCATATCTCTCTATCAGTGTTATAGAGGGCGAACAATTTATGAGTTTACCCTGCATAAGCTTTATACAGGGTGAAATGGATTTATCTGGGTTTAGACCCCATTGGGAGTTGGGCATCTGAGTGCTAAAGCAAGAACACTTCTGTGAGCTGCTTTCAGTCAAGCCTACAGTTGTTAGGGGACATGGTTCAGACCTGGGTCTGGGTTTGCAGCAGGCTAGTGAGTCTGGCTCAAACCAGGCAGGGCACTGAAGTCCTAAGCTGACAGGGCAGGAAAGCAGGGGCAGGGGTAATCTTGGTACATCAGGTGGCAGCTCCCAAGGGGGTTCTGTGATTCAACCCGTCACACTTTCCATCCAACCTCTTTGGTCAGACTCCAGGGTGAGAGCCCTGCCCCTGACTCCTTCCAGCCCGCAGCTCTTAAATCCATCTCCCCTGGGGCGTTGGCTGCTGGTGTCAACATCCAGTGATGTGGGGTCAGCCTCGGCCAGTCCTTTTTAATGCCCCACCTGGCTCAGACTGCTGGGCGCCATTCCCACCTCTGTCTCTTAGCCTATCCTGAGAGCAAACGGTCCCTTCCCCACACTGGGTAACACTGCTACATAAAGGGAAACTGAGGCACATGCCGGCATCATAAAAATATTACAGAAAATTCCCCCTTTGTCCCACCCTCACTGTTCAGTATCTGCACCTTGTTCCCAGACTGAATTCGGGTCGTGCCCGCTCCCAGCCGTCTGCTCTCACAGATCTCTTCCCACACAGGTACTAGCAGACCCTGAGCAAGTCACCTTTCAACCGTCCCTTTGGCGAGACGATCAGATCCACCTCCTCCAGGCTCTCCGCAGCCGGCGGATTTTCTAGCCCTCTGTCCTGTTCCCTGAACCTTGTCCAGTCCATCAACCCCCCGTTGGCAGGGCAGGCGCCAGACCCCGGCGCACTGTCCCTGTCTGGAGAGCAAACACCCTCTGCCAGTCCACCTTGTACATCGAAGGCGCCTTCGCCCTCTTCGCTACAGCGTCTCACGGGGCTACGCTGGGCTGGCTGGTTTCTCCCAGGAGCCCTTCCCTGCCTTCCCGGTGCACCCCCAGCCCCAGGCACCTGGGCTGGGACCTGGCGTTTGGCTACAAGGTGTGTTGTGCCCCAGGGCCCCGCTCCCCAAGCCATGTGGGAGGAGAGATCCTCCTGCCCACGGCCACCAGCTGCTCTCACCCCATGCAGGGGCCGCCCCGGGACCCCTCTCACCTCGATAGCCTTGCAGATCTCCTCCATCTGGGTCACGATGGCCTGGATGCGGTCGTTCCCAGCCACCAGCATGGCGACGCCGTCGCTCAGTTCGCTCTGCCACGGGGGGGGGAGAGGGGTCAGTGCTGGGCATGGGCGGAGGGATCAGTGCTGGGCATGTGGGGGTCGGTGGTGGGCACGGGCAGGGGGTCTGTGCTGGGCAGGGACAGGGGGGCAGCCCCCCCTCGCTGCAGGAGGGGGCCTGGCCGGCAGCCGCCACAGCAACGAATACGTGGGTTGCTCAGCAAGCCCAGAGTGGGCCCTGCAGGCTCCCTGCCGGTCCCCGCTACCCCCCCCGGCCCTCTGCCAGGAGCCCCACAGAACCTGCACCTGGGGCAGCTCTGGCCCCTCGGCGCCCCTGGGGGAGGAGAGACCTGCCCCAGCTCCAGGGGGGGGGGCAGCCGCTGAATGGCACAGATCTGGGGGTAGGGCTGCCTCCCTCCTGCTGCTCCAGCCAGGCCGGGCCAGACCGGCTCCTGGGGGGATCAGGGCAGCCCAAGGGCCCCCGCAGGCACCAACCGCAGCAGAGGAGAAGGCGGCAGAGGGACCCCGCCATGCCCCCGGCCACGCGCCCCCTGCCCCAGTTCCTGGCCCCCCAGGAGCAGCCCCAGGTACCTTCTGGCGCTTGTAGACGCTGGGCAGCGGGGCCACCTCGCAGTCCTTGTGGGCCCCGAACACCTTGCACAGGGAGCAGGTGGGTGCCTCGCAGCTCAGGCAGTAGATGTTGATCTTCTCATCCTCGTGTTCATCGCACATCAGCTGCTGCTCTGCCTTGGCGTGCAGGGGCCTGGGGACGGGCACAGCATGGGCCCCGCTCCCTGCACACCCCCTGCCGGCCCCCCCACCCTGCGTGTCCCCTGCAGTCCCCCGCACGACCCAGAATCAACTCACGCCCTCAGGAAACCCCGTGCACCCCCTGCCG